TTAAATTAAATATATTATTTCAGCCTAGGTGTTTTATCTGTTATAATGTTATTGTATTTTAAGCATAATATGTCGACTGTAGGTCTGTGCCATAATTGAAATCACTTTCACTTAATGTTGTCAAGTCAAACGCTGCCTGTTCTTGTATCTCATTTTCTGGGAATTTTTCTTCTAAATAAAAGCAAAATAAATATATCGAAGTTAGCACAGAATTAGTTTCATTTTCAATATTTTTTTCTCTGCTTTAAGAAGAATAATTTTCACTGCGTTGCTCCAAGTAACGCAGCTGTGGTTAATATATTATTCTTTAAGTGTATTTATTTTACTATGAAGAAAATGGAATGCATCAAATGGTGCTAGATAGTGCCGCTGAAAGATTTTACTCAATGCTGCAGTTGTTCAAAAACGTCATTCATAATATGTAAATTTATATGAAATTCAGAATTTTCAAATTTCTTTTAACAGAATTACTTGCTTTATCTTGTTTAAAATATTTAATCAGTGTTTCATAATGTATAATTATTTCTTTCAGTTGAATATGTCTGGAAAAACCACCTAATTTCATTTAATATTTAAAAAGTTATAGCTTCAGTTTCTAAAGCAGCAGCAATATCTTGAAATTTATCTCGCTTTCTTGCAGATTTAGAAAATACGACGTATATCATTCTCAACAAAATGTCTGTCTCTCATTAATTTATCTTCCTTTGAAGCATCAAAATGAATAAATCTTCACAATGCGCAACGCATTGTAATTGAACCAAATGTGAAATATTTTTTTAAGTTTTACTGCTACTCCATTTATCTTATTTAACGTAACAGCTGCCTCACCAGAAGTAAACGTAACCGTTCTTCTTTTTTAAATAAATATTATTTCTCTACGAAATTCTCGTATTTCAGAAGCAATTAAAAAAGCATCACAAGATTTTAATTACAGTATTTCGACAAAAATAATTCTGTTCGTATCTAAATTTAAAGTATAATTTTAAACATTTGTTGGTATGAAAGTCAATACATTCGCCAACAGTTAAAAATGTGAAGATTAGATGCCTTGTGTTCTTTTATCGTGTCAGCGTTTACTACGGCATTGGTAATCCATAAAAATGTGAAAGCATAATTCTTACTTTACCAGTTTTCTCTAATTTTAACATATTTTGCCATATGATCATTTATATCAAATAGATCGTCAAATATTCATTTTAACGAAAGAATGAAGCAACTAAATGTTCATTTTAATTACAAGTAGTACATTATTAATTAATATTTTTGCTTCTTCACGAATGGATTATTTTTAAAGTTCATCCACGGTCTCATTTAATAAACGTACTAATTCTATTGCTAGTAGCAAAGGATTATTATATCTTAATTTTCCTGCATTGTACATATGAGATTTACTCTTTAAACGCTCTTATAAAAAGCTCGGTTTCCAGTTATCTGTCCATTTTTAGCCACTAACAAAATGTTTGTTTTTACGTTTATCACGACAGTAAATAAAAATAAAATAATGTAAATCAGGGGCTCTAAACAGGGGTTAATATTGACCCCCTGGAAGTTCGAGGAAATTTTAATGGGGGTTAATGATGATCATTGCATCGATATCCAAATACGTATCGGCAGTTCATCGAGCACATTTAAAATTGCATTGACTACAATAAATTATTAATAAAATTGCTGAATAATTTTTTATTGATATATAACACTGTGTAATAAAGAAGAAATTACACAATAAAATGTTAGGGGAAAACAGATTAAAATTATTTTAAATATTTTAAAAATAAATAATGTTTTTTAAAATGCATGATTGTTTTAGGCAATACGTGTAATATAAACAAAGTAAAACGAAAGAAGACAGAAAAGTAACATAAAAAATACTAGAAATGCAAAACTAAAATGGGAAACAAGAAACAGGTTGAATAGTTTTGAACGAGGCAATTTTAAATTAAATTAAGGAATTGTTTGCCAATATATTAAGCGCAGCCCTCATATTAAAATCAAACATTGAGCAATTAGAATATGAGATTTTATTTCTGAAAACTTGTTTATATTCATAAAATTAAGAATAATAACAACTCAAAATATAACAAAACATAAATTTAATTAATAATTTTTTTCAAAACATTTGTTCATATTCCTAGTCCAGGTCTTATCTTCTAAGTTATTTCTGTGCAATTAATTGTATTATGATTATGTTGTATGCTGTATATTATGAAGAAAAATCTAAGAGGGTCGATTAAAAAACACTGTTCCTTTAAAAGCTTCGGGGCAAGAGGAAAAAGTTTAAGGACCCTTTGTTTAAATGAACAGCTTCTACTAATTGTTGACTTAAAATGGATTCATACCACACAAATGTTTTATAGGTTTATCATTATTATCAGTTACGTACTAAATGACACATTCTAAATATTTCAAGATGAATTTTATGCTATTTTCTCTGTAAGATTACATTATGTTTATATTTAACCCTATCTTATTTACAATCAAAATATTAGAAACCAATGGAACTACAACTGGATTACCTATAAAATTAAAAATATTATAGTATTGGAAGATTCTTAGTTAATCTTGATTGCTGCAAATAAAAAAGTAAATATCCGCTATATGAAGTCTTCCTCTAATGCCTGAAGGATCTCTAATGCGTTCTGCATTTTCTTTCTCAATAATTAGCGGGTTAACGTTGAAGTAAATGGCTACTTCGATAACTGGCGAGATATTGAAAGCTGTAGATAGTTTTCTCTACTAATTTTGTCACCAAATTTAGCGAGAAATCACCAAAAGTCTTCAATCTTGGTGACCTTTGGTCCGGTCCCTGTATGACTCTAACTTATATTTTAATTCAATAACTGTAATTAGGCTCTCTATGTAACTGCAGCAGTGTCCCACCCTTCTGTGTAATTTTAACCGTGTATTGGGATACCTCCAGTTGAGCTTCGCTCTTTAGATGATTTTGCATTGCGCTGTGTTGAACGTTCTTAGGTGTTTAAAGTTTAACCATTGGTTGTGCTCTGAAGATACTGCGAAGAGCAGAACGAAGATTTTTAGAGAAAGTTTCAGAACTGTAAAATGTTTCTTTTGGTAAAATAAATTTTATCAAGCTGTCATAGTTTTTGTATGCATTCAACCCATTACGAACCCGAATGCACGCAACAGTGTTTTGATACTGATATTTATAACAATTGATATTTATAACGATATTAACAAGTCAACATTTATAACTTGTCTTAGCACTGCTGTTAGTTCTTCGAGTGCGATTCCTTTAAGACAGTTTTAAGCATTATGAAATATTGGAGAAGTAAAAAGAATTGCGAAATGGCGGAGGAGGAAATCTTTATATTTTAAATACATTTTGGTAGAAAACAAACTGGCATTTGTACCTTTTCTTAGAACACCTTTTTGCTCCTGGCAAAGAGGCATCTATATTAGTTCGCCATTGAAACCATCAGAGTTTATTTAAAAATCTTTGCCAATCAAAAATCCTTTTTCTCTTTATATCATATTTCTCTTCTATATATGAAACAGATTGACTCATGTTATTATTATATTGTAATAGGAAGGGAATTACAGATTGTAGGACTGAAGCAACGCAGTACAAAATTATGACCCAAGACATTAAAACTTTCTGACACTTCTTACCATTTTATGCGGTTTCAATAATAACCTAAAATTTAGAATCGAGAGTAAATCTTTACAATCCTAATAGACAAATAATATAAAACGAAATGTTATATCTTTCTAAGTACTGATAAATGTAATCCTAAGTTCAGCATTTTTCCAATAATGTTCATTTAATAATGTTTATTCAATAATGTTATAATATTCATTTCTGAATGATGATAATAATTCTTCCTTCAAAACCTACTTTCAAGAAAACTCAAGATGTATCCCAAAATAAAAGACACACAAGTAGCAACAGTTTTACATTCTAAAAACACTGAATAAATCGTTTTTATTTGCAACATAGCTTTTTCAAAGAAAGGAATAAAAAAGAGAAAAAAGGATTTTTTTAAAGGGAACGAAGGGAATGGTTTATTTCTTTCGATTTGAAAAGACATAATCGGTTTTAGTCATTCTGAGGAAATCAAGAGAGCATCGTTTGCACGCAATATGCACTTCGTTTTCACAATGAAGAAATATGATCGATATTTTATACACTTTTTTGAAATAATAGATCTGTTACATTCCTCGCAATAGATTCTAATATACCGTGAAAAAATTTAGATACGAAATTTCATGGTAGCTTTCGTGGTAACACGACGTTTTTAGTTCCTCTTTTTTTTACTTTCAAATAAGTTTTATGATCCACTCTAATGCCCTTTACTTTTCTCGAACTGGTTTCAGTTGCAATTATATCTCACGCAATGAAAATTTCACAAATGTTTAGATCACTTATGGCTTTCAATGTATACCAATAAAGCCTTTTATTATTTTAATTTAATTTTTATATTATTATTTTTTTATTTTTGGCATGGAAGTTTTATATTAAGCACATGTGACTATGGTATCCTCTCCCCAATGAAAGATCTGGTGCGAGGGATCCATTATTACAGTAGAGAAGGTCTTACCGTGTTATAGTGTAGTCACTACGAACTATCAAAAAAAGTGGATGAGCTGTCAACACCTTTTAATAAATTGGTAGAAAGTGATAGACAATGGAAGTAGATTATATTTTGGGACTATTAGAGCTTATTACAATTGATACAAAATCTTTTCTGAATTATAAATCCATTAGCACCCCTTTCTATCCAACCCATATCCTCTTCACACCCGAAGTTAAAATATTTAATTGAAAAATAATTCGTGAAGTTTATATGCTTGCTTTCTGTCTATAGATGGGAAAAAAGAGATTTTTTTTGGTACATGTATATTTGGGGACCAAAAAATTTAGGTACACATATGTGTACCTTGGGATTCAATTAAGTAAATAATCTCATATTTTAACACTTGTAAATTTTAATATTTAAAGCCGCCATTAGATTTAAAATGTGAAATAAAACATGAACACAATATTAATTTCACAATAACATCCTAATGTATGATTGTTTTATTAATTTTAAGTAACTTTAACTAATATTTCATCTTTATCAACACATTATTTTGTATGAAACTTTTCAAAGTAATTCTTTTTAATACACATAAATACATTTTACATTTGATACAGAATATTCTTCTTCTTGATGTGCACCCTCGCATTCTACGTGTAGATGCATTTTTGGTATTCATGAGTCTTGGTAAGTGATTTACACCATCCAGACTTATGTTTTTTACTGGTTGAGAAGTTACTTTTCTCTGCATTCTTAGGGTATTCTTCCTCACCTGAACTTGAAGGGAGTCTTAGCCTCTCTCTATTAGTTATTAAATTTCCTTCATATCTGCGCAATGCTGATACATCTAGCATGCGATATTCCATGAGGAATTTAGCACCCGTAAGATTGTTTCGCTTGTAATAGCGTACATGCATCGCCTAACACTTTGATATCACCAAATCCACAAAATGGGAGAAGATTCGAACTGGCCATTTTTTTTTTTTTTTTTTTTTTTTTTTTTTTTTTTTTTTTTTTTTTTTTTGGTCCTCTCAGTACACCGATAGTACGTGAAAGGAATCATTTGCTGTTCCAAAGAAACGTTTTGCGGTCAAGGCAAAATAAGGTATTTTTCCTTGATGGGATTTAAAAAGGTTTGTACTTTCCAAAGTTTATCATCATTTTCATGGAATGCTAAATTAGCTGCAAAATGAAAATTTTAGGGCAAAGTGAATAGTTTGTCTCTTGCCATTGTTCCATGAAAATATCTTATCGATAGGTTTCTTGACTAATATAATTCTGCTTGAGGGAATTTTAGTGTGCCCATCCAAGTATTGAGACCAACAAGTCGCATTATTTCATTTGCGTTTGTGTTTACAGATTTATATTTCTGATGAACAGATTACAAATTAATTTGGGCAGCTACTTCTTCAAAACATTCCACGCTCAGGTATTCAAAAAACGAAGCCAAGCTGTTTGAAAAGGCTCTGGAAGCATTCTCAAAGTCATCCTGCAAAGCATGTTAACTTGAGTTACTATCAATTACAACTTAATCACATGAAATAACAAAGAAATTACAAACAATAAATTATATTAAAAATATAAAATTCAAGTCAGTTATAACTATGCATTGTCTTTATTTTAATAGGTAAAAAATATGAAGAATAGAAGTCCAATATTATGAATATTCTATTTTAATTCAAAAATAAAGCGAGAAAAGGGTAAAAAAACCCTGTAAAAATACAAATAATTTAAGATTACAATTACATACTAGATGTATGTAATCAGTTAGACCATCAGTGAGCTGTTTCTGAAACACAAACTTCAGAAACAGTGACTAAAATTCTGTAATACTAAAAAAACGTATAACAGTAACCAACTGAGCATAACTTCCCTAACGGACTGACGTCCACGTATGTGGACCTATACACATTTCAATGCATTGCCACAAAAAATAACTTTGACGAGCAAACAACAACGTTAAACAAAAGCTCTAACCTAAATAGCTCTAATATTCACTTTAAAAATTAATTAAATTATTAATTAATTAATTATTAGTTACGTTTTCGAAGACTTTTCGACAGCGCCATTTTTGCAAAACAATCCGCTTGTAGCTCCGATTTCTTCAAACGTATGCACCTGTGCATACATCCATTCGTAAAAATGAAAAGCTGAAACATCCCTGTACGTGGTAATTGAGTTGCAATTGAGTAAAAGTGTACTGGAATATTTCAAGCATCGCAAAATTGAAGGTCCACATATGTGGACCTGTGGAGTCAAGAGGATATAGAAACAAAACCTTTAGAAGAACATACACCTAGAGTACATTGTGTGCAAATGCTTCAACGTACAGTAAACCATGTACTAAAAATGCACTGGTACTCAAGAAACAAGCTCGATAATCAGATTAAAAATGTTATGTTGATATTCGCTTCCTTAATTAATAATCTAAAGAAAGTGTAAATGCGATTTTGTTAGGCGCAGTTCTAATATATGCCATAGTGTGTGTTAAGATAACATACTATGGCATATATTAGAACTGCGCGGAATTAGAATAACGGATTAAAGTTCCATCTATGTAAAAAAAAAATTAAAAAGCAATCGTATGCATGTTGACCACAGTCAGTCGTATTTGAGTTTTTGTGGAGTATAGACGCACTGAGTGCAGTGTTAAATAAACGTCTTAAATGAGTGAGCTTACTTTACATAAATTATTTATTTCACGTATGCCAATGTGAGCTATCGATCAGTATTGTTTTTAATATGCATTTATTTATTTCTTTAACTGCCCTTGATATATTTTTATCCAAAGATGTTAAACATTTGGGCAATTCGCAGGCCACAGGAGCCAGAGGCTCTGAAATGTTTGACTTTAGGCTGTGTACAGAAGCTCTGAAATTTCTAAAGGATTCGGCTCATAATAAAGGTCGGTTCGAAAGTGCTTTCGAAAAAAAGGTGGAAGGAATTGAAAGGGGGGACACTTCCCGGTTTCCTTCCCAGACTTATTAGTGGTCGAAATTCGAATAGAATTACATGAAGTTAAATTCAACAACCAATGGCATGAACACGGTACACACCTTTCCTCGCCCATGACTATTCAAGGGTTTCCAACCTTTAAGGTCTTGAGATAAACAACAAAAAATAAATAAGTAATAAATAAGAAAAAAACAATAAGTTTAATAAAGAATTATATTTCTCTAGAAAATTACAAAATGTTAAGATAAAGGGAGGATATCTGCTATTGGAAGCTTATCAACTGGTGTATAAGCGTTGAATCTAGAAATTTTCTCCTAATTTACAAACAAAAATATCTTTTTTCTTACTTTTACCTCAAATCAAAGATAATGTAACTAAGAAAAAGGCAAATGTAACTAAGAAATACAAAAGAAAGGTGTATCTTAGAATTATAATTTGTGTGTGAGCACAAAATTAGCTTCTTCTAAAGTCAGAACGTTTAGTAATTTTAAATGAAATTTTTTGTGACGTTTTATATGACTAGCTGATTTAACAATTCAATGCGGTTGTAAATATTATGAATAATTTTTATCCGTGAAAGAAATTAAATTTTGCATTGCTCCATGAATATATCTGACCAGTATCATAAAATGCTTCTAATCACGAAAGAGAGCTGAGCTTTTCGAAAAAAATCGTTAAGTAGATAAGATCTTGTTTCTGAATTTGCTGCGGTTTATTATCTTTTTCAACTCGATCGTAAAATTTATCGTGATTAGAACTGTTACACGATTCTCATAAACTCGAGCTAGGTAACCATTATTTAATGCTAAAATAAAACTACTAACATCTAAATCTCGAAGAGTCCTATATACCTGGTCCAAAGACTTGGGAAGATTTTTACGAATGCAGAAGTTTTTCTTCGCGGATTTATTTACCAGTTATTTAAGGAAATCTTTCCCCCTTTCATAATTTTTTCTATATTATTTTAGTTTGCACTTAACTCTGAAGCTAAATACAAGCAATACAAGCTATAACAATTTTTAGCTAACCTGTTTCACTATGACTGAAATTTTGTCACCGATTTTTAACTTATTTCCTGAGAAGCTATAGAGTTCAAATTTTATACTAACTCTGTTTTTAATGACAATACAATGGGGTAAAGCAAGTTTCTCAAAATTCAATTTCGAGTTTTTTCATTTAATGCTTAAATGAGTTTTCGGACATACCTTCGTCTAGCAAATAAACTAGGCAAATCAGAATTTTACTGATTGCACCACGGAATAAAGCGAAAAAAATCTTTTCAGTGAAACTCGCTCGATAATGTTAACCTAATCTCCGAATGTTTCAAAATCGCATGGTGTTTTAGATTATTTGGTTTCTGTGTGTTTACATTTTCACCATCTGAGAAATTATCAGATGTAAAGTTTGAATTTTCACAGATTATAGAGCAAAATTTCGTCATCTTTTAAAATAAAAATTATAAAAAAAACTATTCATCGAACGATTTTCTAGATATTTTTAAATAACGTATTGTAATCTAAAGCAAACGGAGGAAAAAACCGTTTTCAATTTGGGCGCACCCAATAGGCGATATTCATTTTTTCGTTTTAGCTTGAAGCAAAATGCTAGCGGTTAGATTGTTAATTATCTCGAATTTTTTAAACTAAATATTTAAAGCGATTCCTTTATTTTCTGAATAATTTTCTTGTTTCATAATTAAATTACTGTTTTCACATAATGCAGAATAAACATAGAAAACAAAACGAGTTTTGCTACAGAAATTTATCTTATGTACATGTTAGTATCTATGGAGTAACTGAGGAGTTAGTATCTATGGGGTTCTTAGTAATTGAAGTTATTAATTCCAGCAGAGCCCATTAGATTGGCGATAACTGTAATGCGCTTTTGTTTCGCTGATAGAATATCAAAATTATCATATGTTAAAATATACGGTAAAAGAATCACAAAATATTTAAAAATATATATAAAATGCTTATTACAAATCAAAACAGCAGAATACACATGATGCTTTGACAAAATATACAGATAAACCACGTAAAATGGCATAGATATTACTACAGAAGAATGTGAAACTTATGACTACATCTCAGAAGTAAGAACATTAAACAATTGATTAAAATGTATTACACAGATAGTTTACATACATAGTTTACATAAATGAATTTTCTATAATTTAGAAAACATTACCATTATTTAGAAAATATTTGCCATCATATCATTTAGAAAATATTTGCCATCATTACCATCATTTAGAAAATATTTGCCATCATTACCATCGTTTAGAAAATATTTGCTTGTAACACAAAAATACCTGTTTTTCTTGTATATTAAAATAGCTTTTTTCTCCCGGTAACTTCTCCCTTTTAAACATTCTTCTCTATTTGACTTCCCACTGATAGATATATATATCTCGAAAACACCTTGATATCACTGATTGCCTCTATACCCTTTAAAAAAACACTTTACTAATTTCAATCTGACTTTGAAAATACCGTAAGTCAAGTAAGAAATGGTAAAATTTCCGTTTTACTATAAAGCTGATGCATTTTAAGGAAGCTTAAAGCTGCAAGTGAACTCCTAAAATAATAACGATAACATCACAAAGCGCACGAGTGAAATTTTGTAACCGCGGGACATAATATATAACATAAAAACATACTTCTTTAAACATGTAAATGATAGAAATACCCGTAAAATAATTAATGATCTGAACAGGAAGCTTGTTTTGCGTATCTCTAAATTAAAGAAAATATACTTTAGGCAAACATACAAAAATATACTTAAATTCTTTTCAGCGAAATTATTAAGAACACGCGT